TGTCGACTCTTTTTTTCTATCTTCTTTCCTAGGATCGCCGGCATTCCTAAAAACATGACCCACCTTAGGGTGAGGAAAAATTCCCTACAATAATATACGAAGTATACAATATTCGAGCATGCAACCTCAAGCTCTAATATTAAAAGGTCGTTTAGTTGGGAGTGTTCATCAGAGGGAAAGGGAATCAACTGCCCTTATTTCCTTTTTTGTTTATTAGACATTTATTTTCATTCCCTTTACCTTCCCCATTCCCCCAAAGTCTTCCAACTTGATTCCCCACCCTCTAGCTAGGTTTTTCCATTCCCTTTCCTTAACCACCACTACACCACCAATATACCCACACCAGCCACCACCATCCTACCTTACTCCCCACCACCGAGCCACCTCGCCGCCCTCCCCTGCCTCTTGATAAGATCTCCCTTCCCCCAAAAAACTTCCCCTAGTCTTGAAAACCCTAAAAAGCTCCTCCCCGACCGCCTAAAACCCTTAACCGCCTCGAGGGTGGGGGGAGGGGCGGTTAAGGGTTTAGAGCGGTCGAGGAGGGGGGTTTTTAGGGTTTTTCGGGGTAGGGGGAGAGGTTATGGGGAAGGGAAGGGGTTTTCTGTTGGTTTCCGGGGATAAAGAGGCGTGGCTGGGGTGGGAGGAGGGGTAGCATGGGGAAGCGGTAGGGTAGGTGGTCAAGGTGGGTGGTAGGGGTCTTCAAGGTGTCCGGAAAAAAGAGAATTGAAGAGGTGGGGTGTGGTGGTTCCATGGTGGCTCTCATACCCTTTGTTGTTTAAAACTAACAACATTGCAAATTAAAGGGAGTTACATTTTTTTCTTCTCTTTTCCCTTTGTTTTAATCATTCCCTTTTCCTTAGATGAACCAAATGACCCCTAGGTTTTTTATCAATAAGTTATGACATATTTTATGTTTTCTTTGTCAAACAAAATTTGTATTTGTAAATCTAGTGTACAAAAGGCTTTTCGTATTGATTTTTAGATTTTAGTTGCGATTGTAAACGATACGATTTTTCATAATTTTATAAATGTGCAGAATAAAGGTGAATATGTATTATTATTATGTTTTTCGTAACAATTTTATATAAGTTTACCATAGCGATTGTAAAATGATATGATTTTCTCTACTATTTCACAAATAAATGTGTATATTATAGCGAATGTACAATCATTACAAATTAATCGCTATGAAAAGACAATTTTCTTTTAGTGAAACTATTTTCCCATAGTTAAAATGTTAGTTGAAAAACTATTTCATTCTATAAAGAAGGTATACTACATTTTTTTCTTTATTATACACTTCTCTATCATTTCTCCTCCATTCTCCACCTTCCTTTTACATTCTTTTTTCCTTTTCCTCCATAAATTTTCCCACACAAACAAAGGAAAATAATTTTCACAATCATGTTCCCATTGAGAATTGTTTTCTTTGAAAGTGATTTTCAATATAATGCAAAATGTTTTCCATCAAAAGAAATGGAGTCTAAGCATTTGGTTTTCTTTGAAAATGTTTTTCAATAAAACATTTTACATCAAATAACAGGTCTAAAAGGAAAACTCTTCGATCAATGGGGTTGGAATTAAAATGAAATATATGGTAAAAATGTAAAATGAAATTGTTATGAGCTAATTTTGCAAACAGTCATACCTTGTCACCAACAATGGGTAATCTTTGTCTCTTCTAGAGAGAAGAGACTTTGGTTGAGGTGTTATGATGATGCGGGAGCAATAATACTCCAATATGGGTTTTGATCTTAACAAACTCTAATTATATCTTATAAAAAGATAATTCTTCCTAATTTTAATCCTAAATAAATCATATGAATACATTAAAATAAATCTTAAAGAAAATAAATCTAGACTCCTACATTCTTAATGCTTGATCGCATCATATTAACACACCAAAATTTTCAATCACGGAGCCTCCTTTAGATGTTTTTCCAAAACAATGTATTCATTTATCATTACAAAGCTAATTTGTGAATTAATTATAATTGTTAATCCAACCAAAGATGTAACCCAATTCACCTTCCCACCCCACATACATATTAAGAAGGATTAAAAAAATTGTTCATAGTATTAAGGATGAAAGGGATTTTGTAGATAGAGAAGAAAAAAATTAGTAAGTCTGTGACAAACCTTACTTAAATGAGAAATGATTTTTTTATTTATTAATTTTTTTTAAGGACAAGAATTTTGATAAAGATCAGACTTTTATTTAATGACATAAGGAATAACTTATGTTTTCTACAACAAAACTATATTTTTTTTATAGAATCATCAACATGTAATTAAGTATGTTAATGGTACAACTTTTCATCATAAAACACATGGACATCCCAATCAATAATACAATTAAATTGATGTATCCAAATGAATTTTTAGACTAATATTCAAAACCTACATGGCGCAAGTGTTTGTCTTACATTCAACACCATAGATTAGTTGATTTCTATACTCTCTCGGTCTCTCCATTCCAATCTAGTTTGTTCATTTCTAAAATTGACAATCATAGTAATCCAACTTACTACCTCCATTTCTTATTATGTGTAACAAAAAAATATTTTATATCTCATAAATTATACCCCTTTGTTATACATAATAAGAATTTGAGATAGTATTTCTTTCTTTCGTTATTATTGTTTTTGCTATTGTTTTTCTATTACCAATGCAAACTAATTCTATTGAGAACTTGCATCATAATATTTTCTTATATATTATCGGTGAGAATATACAGTCAAAGTTTGACTTTCTAATAACAATTAACAATAATAATAAAATATTCCATAACAATTCAAAATAAAATAACCCCATTTTCTCATCCTTCCTTCTTCAATTATATTTGCACTATGTATGACTTCTGCAATAAATTATACAACAACCACTTTGATCACTTTTTTCTATATAAAAACATTGTTAATATCTCAAAGTATATTTCTACCATATGAACATTTATTTATTTATTTTTTTTAAAAAAGCATAAAATCTTAAGTAATAGATAAATAAAAATACTAAAGGTCAAATTTATATGTTTGCTAGAATGAAAGTCAAAATGTTAGATTAATTAAAAAAAAAAAAGAAGTATTATAATCTACTATTTTCATTAAAATATATCATACTATCTTCCATGACATGTGTAGTATGCCTTTTATTATAATAATGTGTGATAACGAACTAAAAAATAAACCTTATCCTAAAACTATGTGATACAGTTTAAACAAGCTAAATGCCTAAATTGAGACTAAGAAAATGGCTCGATTAAAAGCCATACATTCAATTGTCCCAATTTGGATTGGCAAGGGTGGAGCAATGTCCCATCAATAGGGGCAATTGATCTCAATTAAAACTTTAAAAATCTTATTTTAAATAAGTAAATTATTTAAATTTAATTTAACCACATAACATGAGGAAGACAATTTGTGTGAATTTTAAACGAATATACCAATATAGAAACATATATACTTTGTATGTGTATATCCAACATACGAAGTATGTGAAAGGCATATAGAATTTTTTTTCTTTTTATGTATTTGGGTAATAATTTATCTAAGTTTAACTTAGGGGGTGTTTGGTTCGTTGGGTCTTTTGGAATGGAGTAGAATCAATTCCAATGTTTGGTTGAGCATTTTTTTTTTTTTTTTTTTTTTTTTTTGCTATGGACTCTCATAATAATATTATCTAACTCTATTCCAATCTCTACAATTTCATTCCCATCTTTACCGATTCTAAATCCATTCCAGCCTGCCACCCTGAATACAAACCCTAACTAGATACAAATCCATTCCAATATCACACCAAATAAATTTGGCAAAATACAGGGGTTTCCAATCCATAACACCATAATATGAGTTCTCAATCCCTTTCATTTCAATTTATTGAACCGAACGACGCCTTAGAGTACCTTTTAATTATCTTGAACTTGAAAAAACCATTCTAACTCCACCTCTATCTTTTATGGATCGAACCTAATGGCTAAATCATGGACCAAATACCCAACTCACTTAGCCCCTAACTTTTTACCATTTACTTTGGAAAGAAATGTAAAAATGATGCCCAATGAATCACCTTATGAAATGACCGGTCTAATTGGTCTTGCCCAGTTATCCCATGGATAAGTTCATTTGTCTCCATCCCATTCAACCTATCTTGACATATAATACGACCGCTAGCTATCTTTATATTACCGTACTCAGTGGCGGATTAAGGATTTTCAATCAGGGGTAGCATGTACGAGTAGTTGTTTAAGAAAATTTTAAACAAAAATTAATACCGGACTTTATTTTAGGGATTTCGATTGAAAAATTCCCCCGACCTAAAGACAATAAGCAAAATAATAAACTGCATAATGATATGTTATACTTTATCAAACATAGTTACAATACAGTAATAATAATAATAATAATAATAATAATAATAATAATAATAATAATAATAATAATAATAATAATAATAATAACTGCATAATGGTATGAAGTATCAATTTATTTGTTATTTTTTATTTTTAATTGGTACTAGTAATTTTGTACTCCAATTTGTATCTTTTTTTTTTATTTTTTTTTATTTTTTTACCGACAATTCGTATCTCAATTTATCATTACAATCAATGAATACTCCACACTTCATAAATAATTTGTGAAAATGAAAAAAAAAAAAAGAAAAAAAAATCTTTATTGATATAATGGAGATATTAAGCGAAGAGCAAGGGAAAAAAAACTATGGGAAAATAGAGAGATGAGGATCAAACCCCTAATGGCCTGCTGCAAAACCAAAGTTTAAGCAAATTCTCCTTTAACCACTCCAGCAATAGTTGGCATTTGGTATAAATTTGCAGTTTTAACAAATGTATACCAAATTTCTGGGGGTATAAATTTGCATTTTTAACAAATTTATACCAAATTTATTACAATGTAGATCCGTCAGTGACTGTACTCCCATATATTTTTCCAAGTACTAGTAAAACAATCTAACTATTCACTTAGTACAAAATAATCTTAATTAATTAACATATGCTGACTAGATGATCTTCATCTATGATTCGAGATGCCAAAACAAAGCAAAGCAACAGTCTTTATTGCTTGTCATTTCTATTGCTCTTACAATATTGCACTAAAAATGAAGGAACACCCTTTTACAAGTGACGTGCCATTGCATGCCACATGGCATAATCTAGAGATCATTCCAAAGTGCCGGCGCTCTAATGGCATTCCCTTCTCTTCTTTGATTTCCAAATAATAGCCCCCACAAATGGGACCCACTTTTTAGAAAATGTTGGCCAAGTCAAGTCAAGAACACAAGCTTTGACTCTCCCTAAAAATATTTTCTATTTTCTTTTCCCTTCTCACTATAATTATATGTATTTTCATTCTCAAAATTCCCAAAATACCCTTTTCCACGGTCAAACTTTTCCTTCCCTCACCTTCTTAGAAAGACCTCCGCAAAGACCTTCATTTTCAAGCCATCTTCACCACAATCCCACTTCACAAAATTTTCCAAACAATCCCCTCTTTATTTACTCCATATATCCTCCTCTTCAAACTTTCATTTCCATTACACTCAAATCTTCATCTCATTGCGCTTTCTACAAATGTCTTCCTCGGTAGCAAGCTTAGAACCCTCTTTATCCTTCAACAATAGTAGCTTCTCTTTTACTAACCTCATGAACTCCTCCTCCTCCTTCACCGATTTCTTCGCTAACACGACGAATGATGATCATGTGTTGGAGAGTGATTACAACATTATTTCCAAGGAGAAGAATACTAATATCACTAATAATGATCATAATAGTAATAGTAGTGGTAGTAATTGGTCAGGATTTGATCAGTTGATTGAAGTTCCTAAGTTTAAGTCTATGGCTCCTTCTTCTCTTACCGTCGCCGACCCTTCTCCCCTTGCTTCTTCGTCTTCGTTTTTGAACACTCCTAATGCTTTCAGCCCATCCATCTTCTTAGATTCGCCTCTGCTTAATGTAAGTACTTCATCTCATCTCTTTTCTTTGACTTCATTTTCAATGATATATACTACCTCCGTTAAATGTTATGTGCAACTTTGAAATATTTTATATCTCACAAATAATACCCCAAAGTTGCACATAACATTTAACGGAGGTAGTATTATCCTGCACTCACTATTATCTATAAGGTTGCGTACATCTAAATCTCATGCAGCTCCCCGATCCTGCCTTAGGCAATCGGGATTATATGTATAATGGTTATTAACTTAGGTGTGTTGTTTTATATGTGCAGAGTTTTCCATCTCCAACTGTAGGAGCCTTTGGTGGTGAGAGTTTCAATTGGACTCAACTTGGTGCAAATAAAGATGAAGGAAGAAGTAACAATAATTTCACTTTCCATGCTTCAAACAATTCAATTGTAAGTCCTTTTTTTTTTTCCTCTTGTTTGATGATTAATTAGTTGTATTCTTGAGTAAATCTCATCCAAAAAATAATAAATAATTAATAAATAGACTTATTAATATAATAATAATACAAGTATGCACAATTATTTCGATCCTAGAAAAAATCCACCGCATGAGTTGGTTGAAAAGATATTTAATTAATTGAGAACCGTACATTATGTAAATGAATGCCCACCAAAAAGACTAGGATTGCAAAGTCTAAGTCAATGCATAAAATGACAAGAAAAATATATATTTAATTTAATTTTGATATATAGCCGCCACTACTTCTAGAAGCCTATTTATTTATATACATAAATAAAATGAAATTATAGAAAGATAATTACTTTAATTATTATTTTCTATTTCTATGTTCTCACCTAATAATATCTAAAATTTAATTAAGTTCTGACATTTTTGTCTGACATTAAACATGTGCAGGAAGGGTGGAATTTGGATGAGCCCAAGAAGCAAAATGAGATGATTAACAAAGATCAGATTAATTCGAAACCCGAGTTTAATACTAATATTAATAATCAAATTATGAACACAACACAATCAGATGCTACTAGAGGTTACAATGCTACACCAGTTCAGATGAATAGAGCACAGAAAAGAGCTGAAGATGGATATTGTTGGAGGAAATATGGGCAGAAGCAAGTGAAGGGGAGCGAAAATCCCCGGAGTTATTACAAATGTTCACACCCGACTTGTCCTACAAAGAAAAAAGTTGAACGATCTCCGGAAGGCTATGTGACTGAAATTGTTTACAAGGGGAGTCACAACCATCCGAAGCCTCAGCCTGGTAGAAGATCATCTGCGCAGAATAACAGTAACAGTGGGTTTGATGGTTCAGAGGGTTCTAATGCAGCACTTATTCAGGCACAGACTGATAATTATTCGTCCTTTACACCTGAGACATCCTCGGTGTCAGTGGATGAAGACGATGAGTTTGATCAGACATCTGCAATGAGTAAATCAGCCAGAGATGATGATCATGAACCTGAATCCAAAAGATGGTAAGAGATATTTTCATTTCTAGTTCCTGTTTTCGTCTATCTGTAGTATTACAGTGTGTAATTTGTTCTGATCAATTTCTGATACTTTTTATTACAGGAAAGGAGAGAATGAAGGGGAGGTGATGTCAGGGTATGGTAACAGAACAGTTAAAGAGCCAAGAGTAATTGTTCAGACAACCAGTGAGATTGATATTCTCGACGATGGTTATAGATGGAGAAAATACGGGCAGAAAGTAGTGAAGGGCAACCCCAATCCTAGGTGAGCACACAGTTTGAGTTAATCAGTACATGAACAAGTTTTCCTCTTAGCAAAGTTTGATCTGATTATGCGTACATAGACAATTCTAATGTTTGAATCTGATTGATTTTACAGGAGCTATTACAAATGCACCAGCTCAGGTTGCCCTGTAAGAAAGCACATAGAGAGGGCATCCCATGACACAAGGGCTGTAATCACAACTTACGAGGGAAAGCACAACCACGATGTTCCAGCAGCTCGTGGTAGTGCCAGCTATAACAATGCCCCGATGCCAGTCAGGCCATCAGCCATAGCCAGCCAACCTAACCAGATAATCGGCCTAAGGCCTCTTAACAACAACATATCAAGTGCCTCAAGACCAGAAGCTCACCAGTCACCTTTCTCTTTACAGATGCTGCAAAACACTGGCAGCTTCGGGTTCTCAGGGTTTGGAAATAATTCAGAAGCCAAGGAAGAGCCAATCGATAACATGTTTTTTGAATCTTTTCTTCGTTGAAAATCAGGATTGAACTTCCAAGTGAAATATAGGGTTTAACAATTAGGTTTAGAATCATGTATTTCTTTGTTGTAAAAAAATTATACTACAAGCCTTTCAGACTCTATAGAAGTCTCAGCTTCCACAGAATAATCATAGTTAGGTGATTTGTTTATTTGTTGAAAGGCCCTTAAGCTTTAAACCTTCCCAGGCCATCAAAATATTTAGGCATGTAATGTTTCCACCAAGTTGAATATCAAAGCTTCAGCATTTACACTTCTGAATCAACAGCAGGAAAAGTCCTTACTCTAATTTTCAGAACAGGATAAATTTCAGTCAAGAGAGGTAAAAAGCCAAGAAAAGGGGGGGAAATAGAGCGATAATGTCATACATCTCATCATTATATTAAAAATAACCTTGGTCTTCGGACCCTTGGAAACTAAAGAAACATAATGTTTGGTTACTTCCAATCAAACAAAACAATGAGAATTGAGGCAAACAGTATCCAGAACAAGAACAAAGCGAAATGTTGTTTTCTATATCAACTTTAAACACAATAACAGCCGTTAGCAGAGAAATGAAAGGCTGTAGCCTGTAGGAGTGAAATTCTATACTCAAATATTCATAAAAATATACATTTAAGAAAAAGAAAGAAAAGAAAACGAAGAATAAGGTACAATAAGTTGCAGGCAATCTGTGATCTGAAGGGTTCCAATCAGATAGCCTAAGGCCAACTCTAATCAGGTATATAAACAATATGTAAAGACTATACTGTATGAAAGAATCAAGTTCAAGAATGTTTAGATTATAAATATATTTATAAGAGGAAATTTTCATATAAATGACTGAGTAGAGAGCTTATAGCCAGCAATGACGGATGAACATGCCAATGAAATGAAAGCAAGGAGAGACATGCTTATGGCTGCTGCGCATGAATCTGTGAAAATGTTGTCACCTCCTTCCCGCATTCTGTTTGTCATAGGTATGGCCGAAGAAGCTGATGACAGTAGCAAGTATGCCAATATCTGCAAATAAACATTTACTTCAGATTTCAGTTTAGTACCACAGAATCAATAGGCCACACATTTTCCTGTTGATAAATATCTATATGGACTTTCTTGATTAAATTAATAAGCAATACTTCAAGAAAAAGCCTAATTAACTAATCTAAGTAGACTTGACCAACAAAAGTGCATGAACGACGACTGACAGGTCAAATTGGGTCACAATTCACAACCACTACCTAAAGCTTGACATACCCTGAAAGCTAGAATGCCAAGTAAAAGATTAAATAGTATATTGTACCTATTACACAACAGATGATAATCATGTCACACTAACACAGACAGGCATGGACTGCTTTGAAAATTTCAACTTTCATCCACCAAAGGGCCATAACCCATAACAAAAGTTCAACATGTTTGCAAAATTAAGAAATTAAACAAAAGAAGACTCGGTCTACCACTTTTAAAGCTACCAATCGATGCTTGCATCACACATGCTTTCATATTCGCGACTATTATATACGTTTAGTTCAACATAGCACTATAGAAGTATGAAAGCAAACCTATCCCCTCTTCCATATCAGCAAATAAGTTGATTAATCTAATCAGAAATAGTGAAAATTGCAAAACTACAAGAATATATGATTAGAGTTATGATGTTATAAGAACTAATGCTGTCACAGTGTCACATACATTTTAAACGATTGCAACTTTGAACAAAATGAACATTATAAATTTGCTTAATCATGGTGCTTGATTTCATCATAAAAATGGTGACATGGTGCCTCCCATGACATCAAATACAAGGGAAGCACTCTTAAGCTATGTAAGCGTAAATTCTATTATACACCTGAGTGTACCTAAAGCTAGTGTATACAACTATATGAGTAATTGACACTCACCCTCGTATTCCATTTGTCACCCATTTTATTAGAAAAATATATCTTTGACCACCAAGTGTTACTCAATATATTATGAAATAAAGACAACAAAGAATAAAGAGAAAACAATGAGATAAAGTATCTTCTAGAATTATCCTTTCTACACTTATCCAAGAAACAAAAAACTTAAACAGTACAATGAAAGATTGAAGATTCAGAAATTCAGAAACTTTCTAGAAAATGTCAAAATTAAATTAATAATAATAACAAAAAAAAAAAAAAACAAAAAAAACCCACCTGGTCTCCAACAAAATCAATCATAGCTGCAGTTTTGGGATCAACAAATTCTTTCGCTCTAGATAACTCATTAACATGTCTAAAACATTGTAATCCTGTATATAGTGTCGATAATATTGCAATTGCCAACAAATACCTACATTTTCACTCACCAAAAACAAATAAAAAATTAATCCCAATTTAATACAATTATCCAATTCAGCAAAAATAACACTAATCAACGCGTGATTTTATCATAAATTCCGAAACTAATACCTGAATTCTTCGTAATTGCCAAAGTCTTGGCCACCGCCATGATTGTTACTAGCCATAATAATAAAGGAAAGTAAAGAAAAAACCAAAGACAAAGCTCTTAAAGTTAATGACCCTTTTTTAATTAAATCCTCTCTTTTCCATCGTCGGAGGATTGATCCAACACCGTGCTCTGTTTCGCCCGATGCCGGCGCCGCCACGGGTGATCCCCTCTCCATATCATTTCCCGGCGAAGCCTTTCTTTCCAATTCTAAACCCACTGAATTTGACATGTTTTGATCAATTTAATTGTATTAAAATTGAGCTAAATTTATTGAAATTTGAGAAATTTAAGATTCTTGGTATTTTTTTTTCTTTGTGTGAAGTGGAAGAAAAGGAAATGCAAAAAGAGGTGAGAGAAAGAATTGAAGAAGAAAAAACAGAGTGGATTTGTTGTGTTTGTATTGAGTGATTTTTTTGGGTGATAACATGCCAGCTTGGAAAAAAGGAGGAGCTTTTTGTTTTATTTTATTTAATTTTGTGTAACTAACTTGTAACAGGGTGGCACTAAAAAAAACCCAAAAAAGAAAACACAAGTATAGAAAAAGTGAGATAAATGAGAGTTTATTTGCCCTTTTTAGAGTATAATAATTAAGTTGAATGAAAGAAAGGAGATGATCGAAATTGTTGCGTAATCGATAATTGGAGGTTGGTTACATGGTGAAGTGATTGTGGGTGATGGAAATGGGGGTGAGGATGGATGAGGGGTCTAGTTCATTAAAATCATAATAACGAAACATTATCAGAACACCTATCTTTTTAGGGTATAATGATGTTATTGTTGTTGTTGTTATATTTGATTGTATGTGTATTAAGGATTTAAGGGTGACATGTGGGATACATATTTTATTTGCGCTTTTATATCAATTTTAGGATAATTTTTAATTTATGATGGATTTAATTTATTTTAATGTGTATTTTATAATAACATTTTATAAAAGCTAATATTATTAATCTAATATATTATAAGTAAATTTATGTTAGAAAAAGGATAACTTTTATAGTAAATAAGGTAACTTTAACATGTTTTACGATAACTTAATGTAAGTCTACCTTAAGTAAGATGATTTTTATAACGGTCGTTTGAAAAACAACTACCATATATTAAACTAAGTGTCGCAATATGATTGGATGATATTATCCACATCATCAATATATTTGACTTATTTTTTTAAGCCAAATTTAAATAAAAATTATTTTTAAATCTCTGAAATTCATATTATTAATTTCAAAGATTAATTATTCTATTTTCTGAAATTCATTTTATTAATTTCAAAAATTAATTATTTTATTTCCGAAATTCATTTATTAATTTTATGATTGATTTTCAGAAATTAAAATATAATTAAAAAGTAAAATTAAAAATAAGTTTTTCATTGTCTGTTCTTCATCCACAATCAAATTTCTTTTTTGAAATTTTTTAAATTTTATTTATCAATTCATTCAATGGTAGTTTTTAATTAATATATTTCGTTCATCAATTCATTCACTAGGGATTTGTTCTTCAAATTTGTAGAAAAATGAATTTTTAATCCTTGGTTAAAGAAGAATAAGGCGCATAGATCTTTGAAAAAATCGTTGTGGACGATGTGTCAATTATTTAGGCTCAATTAATGGTGTTTTTTCGACTAATCAATCAAAGAAGAGAACCTTTTGTGATAGAGTATTAAATATACTCCTGGGCCTCAACCATAAGTTTATGGTTGAGGCTCGGGAATATGTTTTATACTCTATCATTTTGATTCTTTATTAGAATACATGGAATCCTTTTTTATTCATTAGTTGTTAGCTCAAAACAGTTTATAAATATCTACACAATATTGCAATAACATACACTTTTGAGTTTTGACTAATGTCTTTTATTTGTCTTAAATATTGATTATTAGTAAAGCCTTTATAATATTTAATTAAGGACAATCAGGTCATTAGGAGGCTAGCAGCTGTTTACCCAGGCCCATTAAAGGCCCAAAGCGTTGAAGTAGTGTAGAACAATGATCCCATATTCTACAACCGATTTCACATGTTAGACTTGACTGAGGCTTTGTTGGTAAAGAGCTTTTCGAAAAGCTTTTTGATTATTAGATGTTTGACCATTTTAAAAAGCTAATTTGGTTGTTTATAGCTTATTAAAAGAGTTTTTTGGGATTAAAAAACTCTTTTAGAAAAACCTCATTACAAGAGATTTTTAAAATTAGCTTATTGAACAACTAGCTTTTTAAATATTAAAAACGCTTCTACACAATAAACTAGTCAAATCATCAAATATAACCAACTAGTGAAACCAGTTAATACAATCATCTACTCCCTCTGTCCCATAATACATGACATAGTCAAACATTGCACACATGCCAATGCACTAGTTTGACTTTATTTTTATATAATTAAATATGAATGAATATTATTTTTAAAATTATATTATGAAACTTTATATTAAAACCTATCTAACAACATATTTTATGATAAAATATATTTTTCTTATGTTAGTAAAAAACTATGGTCAAACATAATGCATGAATAGTGAAAAAAAGTCCAACGTCTCATGTATTATGGAATGGAGGGATTATATCAAAACCAATTTCATGTTTTTTTAAGGTGTTAAAAGTCAAAAAGAAATTTAACCTAGGTTAGAATACTTTGTATATCTTCCTAGTTTAACCTAAGTTAGAATACTTTGTATATATATTAAATACATCCACAGGTGGATATGTAATTCGCTCAAGGCCATACACAATACACAAACCATCTAAATAATTAATGAGAAAGCTAGAGTGTTGCTACAATCATTACTTCCTTAGCTAAATGAAGTTTGTCAAAAAAATAAAATAAAAAAGAAGTTTGCCAAATCAAATCGATATCTTAGCTTAGCTTGATACATCCTCACACTAATTCATCTCATTGACCCATCGATTTCTTCGCTACGACCTAAAACCAAAAGCCACATCATGAGCTGAGCTGAGGGCTCCTGAGGCCCAGTAACAATTACCCTAACAATGTAAAATCATTTCAATTCTTTTTCATTGCAAATACAGAGAGAAATTGAGAAGGGTAAAACCTTTGCAAAAACTTTCATAAACTCATTTCATTAAACGTTAGCAATTAACATTATTTCCTTTTATTTTCCCTTGTACTTATATATATTAACAAGGAAATAATTGCTAAATAATACGAAGTACAAAGTAGTAGTCATGCACGTGATGACGGATCTAGGGGCGGGCCTACCCAGGCCACGGCCCGCCCTATGCTATATAAATTCCGTTTATATATTAAATTCTTATTTATTGTTACATTGAATATACTTGGCTGAGTTGGTTTTCTAGCCTTCTGATGTCAATTCTAGTATTGCATGTGTTGGGTTCTATTCCCACAATTAGTAATTTTGTTTTTTTTCTTTGTCCTATATTTTTAATATATATTTTTTTAATAACTTTCTATAACTTCATATTTTATACGACCCGCCCTATATATAAATCCTAGATCCGTCCTTGTGATGACGGGGTTACCAAGTCCCATTATGTTGTGTCATTATACATAATAACAAGAAAATAATTGTTAAATAGTCTTTGTAGTAAATGATTATTTATATGAGAAAAAAAATTATATATAAGTAATAGAGAATTGGTGGTTTGAAGAAGTTTCAGAATGTCAGTGCTTAGAATTGATCATTTTATTGAAGTTGTGACTTTATCATGAAGAAAAGAGTTAAGCCAAAGGTTTTGGGATCTTGGCATCTTGCATAGCCTAACTATTGGCCTAGAGTTTGGTTTGATTTGATGTTTTGAAACTTGAATTGATTTGATGATGAAAACATATGCTAATTTTGTTAGGTTTACAGTGAATTTCAAACTAGAAATCACTTATAATATCAAGAAATACTTAATAAAATGTGTGGGAAACAAAACCTAAATATATAATTACAAAACAAAGTAATGTAAATAAACAAACACAACAATGGTGTTCCAATCAAGTATTATAATCTAAGAAATTACAGAAATTTCAAAAGAAAAAACACTAGTGAGAAAATTAATTACACTTGCCTAAAACTCCAAGCCAAAGAACCACACATGAACATGAGAATCGCAACGTCTCTTGAGACTATGATCTTGATACACTGTCAAAGGCGTATGAATACTTTCCTAAAGGGATTAATTTCCCCCACACGGTGCTAGGGTTAATCTGGAAATTCCCTTTGAGATACGATTGACAACACTTTCCGTTCTTAGCACAAAGAATCGAAAAACCGATGGATGATTCACAAGGAAGGCTAAAATTAAGAAGTTTTCTCAAAATAGTTTACAAGAAAATTTAGAGAAAATGGAGAATTCTAGGAGAGAAGATGAGAGAATAATGTTTTGTGTCTCTCTCCTTTCGAAAAAACTCATTCTATATAAAATAGAATCAACCGTCGTATAAAACCGCAAAATGGCAAGAAGCGCGGGCGCGCCACCACAGCAGCGCGGGCGCGCCACCAGCTCACGCGGGCGCGCCTCCTTCTTTGCCTAAAAACTTCGATTTTCCAGAAAGTTAGCGCGATTTATACGCGGTTTGGGCGCGGGTCGCGCCTCCAAACTTTTCCAGATTTTCCAGAAACTCATCGCGGTTTATGCGCGGTTTTGTCGCGAGTCGCGCCTAGCTTGCGCGATCGCGATTTCATAGAGCGAATGCTCCACTCCGACACTCTAAATTATTAACAATCCTCCCCCATTTAGAGTGTCTTCTTTATACATTCTCCAAATCTATCATTTAGCCACATCTTATGCATCAATGTTAATGTCCCTTCGGATTGAATTAACACCTAGTACAACACACTTAACGATGATCACATCCCATGATTTCCATATGGATTGAATCACACGGATATATCCAACCATTCGAAGGTGAAGTACACATAAGATAAATCGAATCATTCATCACTTGACACTTTTAAATAGCCATGTGTTCGTATCTTTCATAAGTTCATTAAAGTCTATATGTCCATCTAGACTTCTTGAAGCGGCTAAACTTCGAACTTATATAGGTAGGTTCTCATATACGTAATTGTGCCCTTGTGACAAGACACTTACATTTAGAGCTTCTCAACTCTAAACCTTTGAGAACTTTTAATTGACGCTACCTAATACATCACAAGTACCATAGCAATATGGGTCATTAAATATTGCTAACAAACATAAAAAATGTGATTCAACCACATTGAATCTAAGATTTGATGTTTCTTCAAGCGTTAGATTGGGTTTCACAAGTTTGTGTTTTTGGACATAAACCCATTCTGTTCATAGCAAATATGATGGAATGTCTTGGCATTTCCTTTGTAAAGCAATCCGCCAAATTCATCTTTGTTGGAACATAGTCAAGACTTATGACCCCATCATTGATAAGCTCTTTCACTATGCTATGCCTTAGTGAAATATGCCGAGTCTTACCATTGTACACTTGACTATAAGCCTTTATCAACGCCGAATTGGAATCACAATGGATTGCCACCGGTGGCATTGTCTTTGAAAATAAAGGCAACTCTATCATGAGATTCCTCAACCACTCAGCTTCTTTACTAGCTGATGCAAGAGCTATAAACTCTGCTGCCATAGTGGAATCAGCGATGCAAGTTTATTTCTTGGAAGACGATGAAATGGCACCTCCTCTAAACATGAATACCCAACCACTTACAGAAG